CCATTCATGGGCTGAGCCGAGCTATTCGACCCTTTTGCTACCTCTATAGTGGGTATATGGAATAATGGAAGGAAGATTCAACAAATCAACCAACCTAATCACTAATCCCCATTCCACAGTTTTTTTTTTAATGAAATTGTAAGTTGTTCAAAATTAGTTTTTAATCACATTTTGGGTCCACAATTTTTATTCATTTTATAACTACACATTATATGAGACAACAAACGTAAAACTCAAAAATCTTTGTCAAATAAGGATTAAATTGAACCAATCGATTTGAGTCAATTTTTCCAACGACTGTTAAGTTGAACAAGTCATTTATCAGCTCAACTTGCCCCCGATACTAGCCAAGCAAGGAAATCATCGTGCGAGCCACAATTGCTTGAGTTGCCATTTCTATTAAAAATCGATATATATTTTAATGTCTTCTAATTTTATTTTTTTAAAAAAACCTCATTTTCATTTAAGTCAATATTTCAATTTTTTTTTATTTGAAAACAACATTTTTCCGGATTACATGTTCCGTGTGTTACTTTACCATTAAAATATTTATTAACAAACAACATTATAAGGTGACGTGTTACTTTTAAAGTAATATACATGTTACTTATTTTATAATTTATAGAATAACATATATGTTACTGTATTGATTCATTTTAAATCGTGTTTGTTCTACATTTTTTTTCCATTCTTAAAAATTTTTTGACCGTTTTTTTTAAACAACTGGGCCCCATTATCACACAAAGGAGGTCAAAAATGTCGGCTGCTTTACTGTGCAACGGTCATAATATTTATACACATGGAAAAAAAATGTGGAACAAACAGGATTTTGACATCATTCTATCCTACACAATTTCCGACCATCAGCGCTGCCTTTGGCAGCAACCAATCGGGTCAGATTTCTCCGATCTCAAGCCCCCTTCTTTTCCCCGGCCAACACCGTTTTCTCAACATAAAAGCTTGCTATCTTAATTCACAATCTAGCATGTACTCTTGCATTCCAGCACGCTAAGAGAATGTTTGATCCCCATTTTATTGTAAGAATGAATTTTTGAATAGTAGATTGATAGGAAATGTGTGGTTAAAGAATAAGAAAAAGTTTTGGGTTTGCGTTTAATATTATTTTATTGAAGAATGTTTTGTTGAAAAGAAACGATAGAAAAATATATTTTGAATATAATAAGAATCAAACAAATGATAACACGTGAGTAGAAAGTCTAGGTCAGTCCTCCTAGCCCATTTATTTTTTAAGGTAACGTATCAACACAGTAAAAAATAAAGTAAAATCAAACCAGATGCAAATTCAATTTAAAATTGTGTTCGAATTTTTGTTAATATACAATAAGTTCCGGGCTAAGATGTTTGCATCGTTTAAGGTTTAGTTTCATAAGGTTCGATCGATGATTGAAATAGGGGATTAATACCATCAGATGGGACCCAAAATTAGTGGCTTAACCCATTCACTTGATAATGGCCCGTTTGTGCCTTGTTTATCCCATTTGTTGTAGCCCTATTTTTGCCTCAAACGTTATATATGAGTTGAGCCCCTTGTGTAAAAACCGCGACTTATTCTGATCTACCTGTGTTGCAATTGAGAGAATTAGGACAACCGTTCTCTTTCTCCTCCTTCGTGAAAATCGTTCCTTTCCTCTCTCACCTCGTAAACTTTTTGTACGTCTTTTTTTGTGAGTTGCACACATTGTCGCCTTCCTTTTGCAGAATACTCCTAGGGATGGCAAAAAAATCCGACAAACCCGATACCCGCGGGGACCCGCCCCGAATGGAGAGAGGAAAATCCGCTTAAACGGGTAACGGGGCGGGGATGGGGCGGGGAATTATTCCCCGAGGCGGGGACGGGTACCGGGGTCCCCCCCCCGCCCCGCCCCCTTTCAAAAAAAAATTTTTTTTTTTTTTTTTGGTGCTCATTAGATCATTTCTGCTTGTGTAAAAACCGCGACTTATTGTGATCTACCTGTGTTGCAATTGAGAGAATTAGGATAACCGTTCTCTTTCTCCTCCTTTGTGAAAATCGTGGGTATTGAACTTGCTTTCCTTTCCTCTCTGTCTCATCTCATAAACTTTTTGTACATCGTATGCCTACTTTTTTTGCGAGTTGCATACATTGTCGCCTTCCTTTTGCAGAATACTCCTTGGTGGATTTGAGTCCATCTTGAGCTTGGCAGTGAGCGAGGTGGTTCGATCCAAGGCGTCAGTTGTGAAGGTGGTTAATCTGATTGAATTATGCTTTTAAATATGAGTCAAATTACATTCAGAAGGTAAGCATTTTAACCACTAATCAAATTTCTTTACACTTATTTCCCCTACGCTCAATCATTTTGATTTACCGGCAAAGACTTGACCTACAAACAATCATTAAACTTCTTTTTTTTTTTTTTTTTTGGAACGACGACTTTCATCGTTTCAATGTGCAAGTGATGCATAGATGAACAAGATGACTTAGATCCCACCAAATTTTGAGGACAACAATTAAAATTACATGATAACTAACTATTCAATTATGTTAGATCGTAAACTTACAATACTATGTTTTATGTTGTTCAATATTTCATACCACCAAAAAATTGCATGTGTTGAGCCCATGTCAGTCGTTTAATTTTTCTTTTCACCACCAAAAAAGGTCAAATCATCCCAATTTTAAAATTGCATATTATACACAAGGTCAATTTCATATGTATCCAAGTTATTTAAAGTTTCAACTTGTCATACAAAAGTTGTTCTACAATATTTTGTTCCACTAGATGTAAGGGTGTCAAATGAGGCGAGCCTATAGATCATCGAACGAATTGCCTCACCCAACGAAATATGGCTCGACTCACACCACTAGTTCGCCCTTGGGTGGGATAAGCCAAGCCGGCTCACGCAATTTAAATTATTATTTTTTAAATCTAAATTACTGTGGCGAGCCAACTCGTGCGAGACGTTGAGCTCGTAAGCCAACTCGTGCGAGTCGCTGAAAAAATCATTGCTCCGCTAGTGAAGCAACGAGAAGCCCGCCATCCTTAAAACTCCTAACTAAATCTCTCGTGGATCTCCAATTTCAATTGTCAAATAAAACATGGAACTTGCCCATATAGAACAAATGCAAAGCTAACTCTAAATTGCTTCACTTCTAGAACATGCTCACTTCATTCAAGAAAATATTGATATATTTTAACAAAAGGGGAGCAACCACAATCCGAATCAGCATAACAAAGTCAGGGAACAAGTCGAATTTCACTACGCAACCACCCCACAAAATGCAACGGGATAGAAATTAAACTAAAACACACAACCCAGCATGTATAAAGCTCAAATCTTCATCAATTTTCTATAAAACCCACAAAATGTTAAGCGAAAGAAATTAAACTAAAAAACACAAAACCCAGCATGCATAAAGATCAAATTACTCATCTCTTCAACTGTGTGCTGGATTATCCGAACACATGGACTATTGAAAGCTCAAGTGCTTTACAACGATCCATATGATTGCCTATCCTTACAGTTTATATTCAACTGTGTGGATTACTGACAGGCTTTTAAACTGAAGATAATCCTACAGTTTACCAAGGTTTTGATGCTCATCCAAGGAAAAAAAAAAAGGCCACTATTATTAACTGCAACTTTCCCGAAAAGCTGTACAATCAACTGGAGGAAAACGAGAAACGGTAAATTCTGACGGCTGCTTCAAAGGTAAAACAAACTCTGCAGGATGTGGCATGGTTAGAGATCACAATGAAAATGGTCTCTTGGCTTATTTTGAGTTTCTACTGTGTTTGTACTAAAGGAGTAGCTGAAGTCAAAGCAATATGTACAGAAATGAGATTGTGCTACCAATCCTGCTACACTAGGGAATGGGTTGAAGCAGACTCAAAGGTGGCCGTCCAATTATCACAAAAATGGCTATCAGACCATGACACGTCCAATACTTTGTATCAGAGATACATCATTTGCTTAAGCAAATGGAAGTCTCATTTACTACGAAATGCAGTCGCTGATTGGTTGGCTAATACAGGCTATAAAGAAATGATATCAAAGACATTGGTAGCCCACGAGAATTGGCTAAAGAAGTTGGTGGTCTAATTCAGAATGGACAAATCGGGATTTTCTAGCTCTAGGTTTTGAAATGTTTTGTAAATGACATACTTGTAAAATTCTTTCGTGTAAATACGCTTACAAGTAAATTTTCCCTTAAATTCAATTGTAATTCCTTAGTAAGGCCGTTATGTCTCAGACTCTGATCTTTTCAATATCAATACACTTGGGCAGAGGGCAATTCCCATCCACCCACCCAAAAAATAATAAAATTTCCCTTAAATTCAACTGTAATTCCTTAGGTAAGGCCATTATGTCACCCTCATTGTAATCTTTTCTTATTTGTGTAAAACACAAATAAGAAAAGCAGCATCCTAATGACAATATTACCTTATTCAGCTTCAAGAATGACAAAATTGCTTTTGTTTTCAAGTATTATCCATAAAATTTACCCCCAACCACTATGATAATCTTAATTCTTACCTTATTCAGCTCCCAACAGTGAAGCAATTAGGGATGTTTTCAACTATTAGCATTTTATCCATAAAAAATATCTCATATCCTTTCAGAATCCAATCCAATAAATGAACTCTACCTTCAAAACTAAGTATCCATCTAGAACCACAACTCAACTAGAGTACAATTGGTCTTAAGCATTTTTATTCAAAGGCACATAATTTGAAACATGGACCAGCGCTAAACCCATATAACATCCATTATGAAAATGAGAACGAACTCTCGAAAACATCCACATTCTTTAAAGCCAATACTTTTCTCTTACAATCAGACAAATATCTGATATTCTTTGAGTCTACTCTCTAAGGATATATTTTAAATGAAACAATAGGTCAACTGCTAATTTTCATCTATGTGCAAGCTATTTCCAATATCAGCAGCTGATTCTACCTAATAAAACCTATTTTCAAAAGATGACAAATTCTAGGAAGTACCTCAACTTATTACCATTTTTAAAGTGCACCGTCTTTCATTGATGTTTGCTTTCTGTTTCGCTTTGATGTTGTAGGAGCTTTGCGTGGTGTAGGCGAATAGTTGAGTTTGTAACTGACAAGTGAAGGCCCAAAAATACTAAATTTCCCGGTACCGCTAAAAGCAGCTTCAGCATCTACTCGACTCTTGAAGATCACTTTTGCACGCTTGCTTTTGCTCAATACTACAGTCTCTGACTCATTCAAAGGTCCATAACGGCTAAATATCTCATTCAGATTTGCTAATGAAGGAATAGATTCTAAATTCGTAAAGTTGAGGATCAGTGCTGTTGGAGAATATTTCTGGGATTTTTCATTCACGAGACCAGCTAAACTGTCTGTTTCCAAATCCAGAATGACAGCATCTCTTTCTTGTTTATTGTCCGAGATTGCACTCATACCAACAATAGCTTCAGTTTCAGCAGCAGAGGCAACCTGCGGCGTAGGGATCTTAGGTTCAAATATCATCTTCTCCTCTGGGTCGCTTTGAATGATTCTGTCTGTCCAATAAGAGTCATTTATACCGTCAAACCCAGATATATCTGCAGTCTCCAAGGCGGACAGTAGTTTCTCCTCATGCTCCCCAGCATGCTTTTGATGATTTTGTGTTTTATCGTTTTCCAAACAAGTAGAATTCCGGAACTCACAGAACATACTTACTGTTGAAGTCAATAAGCCAGACTTTTTCATGGGATCTTTTGCAGCCATGCATAGGATTGAAAAAATCTCATGTGGAGGAGGGCACTCAGCTGGAACCAATTTCTCGCTTTGAGGTTTTCCAGAACAAGGGGTCAAACCCAAAAGAACACCAGTTGCACGTTTTCCACCACTTTTACTAACAGATAGAGTAGAACTTCCATCACCAGACTTCATAGCCCTACATACGCGTTCTCCAACTCTAAGATATGAGTTAGGCTGCAACAACACTTTATCATTGGGTGGCAGAAGTCTCTTTCTTCCTTCCACATTAGAATTGCTTGATATAGAATCAACGTGTTTGCGTTTTACACCAGAAGTGCCCGTCTTCTTGCTAGCCTTCCTTCCAGATTTCTTCTCGCCATTTGGTAATCTAGAGCTGTTCAAGGAAATCAAGTCTGACTCGCACTTTTCTTTTTCATTTGGCCACTTATCGTCACTTGAGAGGTGCTTGCGCTTCCGAGAAGAACCATCTTGAGGAATTGACTTTCTCCTTTTAGATTGACGAGTAACCTTAGAACCTGGAAGTGCTCTTTCCATCATCTCAGGAGAATCCCTTTTATCACCCATAACAGTAACATGAAAATCATCCTCCATCAATCCACCAAACTCCTGTAGATCAGGAAGCTGATAGTGACCCTTCCATCGATTAAAGGCCAGCAACTGAGCTTTTGCTATCACAAATTCCAATTTATCAGTTGTACATTTTGGAGCTTCAGCCAATACCTTCAAGTACCTAACGAGTTCTGCGGGTAAAAATGTGGCTGCACTAGATACATTGTCCCTGTCATCTCTTCTACTTGATTCTTCCCGTATACCGGCATTTGAAACAACATGAGTCTTTATATTATTACGTGCCTCCTCTATCAAGCATGAACATGACAGACCAAGCTCGACTCGTCTAGAAGTTTCTTTTAAGGCACAATCCACAGCATGATGAAATGCTATGGAACTGCTCTGTTTCTCCATCTGAGAGAAGTGAATACGAAATGGCTTTATCTTTGATACCTCGTTCCATGCAAATGTCTGATCCCCAAAATATGCTAACAGGTAACTGTCTTTCTTAAAATATTTAATTGCATTCTCTGATGCAGCCGAAGGTTCAAATACCTGCCCAGGCCACCAGGGATGGCTCTTTACTTTGCCCCACACTAGATCCGAGGCACAGTATTCTCCTTCCATTTCTGTTATGCACTCTTCTCCACGTGTTTTTGGCATGAGCAGAACAGGCTTCCCATCATATCCCTCAGCATTTCTAAAATTTACATCTGACACGTGTTCACAAACCAAGTTTACTTTTCCATTTAGATCGGATCCTTCTCCACGTGTTTTTGGTATTAGCAAACCAGGCTTCTCATTATCTCTCTCGGCATTTCTAGAATTTACATCTGGCACCTGTTCATTAATAACCAAGTTTTGTTTTCCATTAAGTCCACTTCCTTCTCCTCTTTTGCTTTGTACCAGGAAACCAGTCTTATCATTATATAACTCAGCATTTCTAGAATTTCCATCTGCCACCTGTTCATTAATAACCACAGTTTGTTTTCCATTTAGACCAGTTCCTTCACCATGCAAATCCAAATTCTGTTCACCCAATATCTTGTCAACCCCCATCCCATTGTTGCCAATTTCATTACCAGATACAGCCCCCCCACTTAGACCAGCTCCTTCTTCTTGCAAATCCAACTTCTGCTTGTCCAATATGTTGTCAATCCCAGTTCCTTTATTGCCAAATTCACTCACAGATACAGCCTCCCCAATCACGGAGCTTTTTACATTCAAATCCACAAGAAGATTGCTTCTAGTTTCATCTCCAAAAGGTTTAAAGTCTCCCTCTACTTTTTCTATTCCAAAATTACCATCAAGCACTCTTCCAACCAACTCCATAACTTCCCATGAGCCCCGTCCATTGTCCCCAGTCGGTCTTTCCTCAACCCTAGATTTTCTAAAAGCCCCCCTAACCCCCTCTGTATTCACATCCACATTTAATTCCACAGAAACTCCACTGACCTTATCATCCATTTTACTATCACCCCCTTCTTTTACATCCATTACCCTATTTACATCCTCCATTTGCGTTCCTCCAACTAAACCCTTGTCCTCCTCCAAAACCCTAACCCCATCAACAGAACACCCGCCACCTGGATCCCCAGAAATTTCCATTAGGGTTTTGTATTCCGCACCACCAACTGCCTCCTTGTCTTTCTCCACCCTAGAAGCACCAAGATTTAGGTCCAATTTTTCCGACATTAATTAATCCTATAAACATAACATACAGTAATACAAACACAAATCATGCAAGTTTTAAAACATTCATAAAATCAAAGACATCGAACGTAATGCACTTATTTTACACAGAAAACATACACGGTTATGCATAAAAATGGAGATTAAAAGAGAGAGAATCACCTCAATTGATAGAAATTCTGTCAATTTACAAAAAAAATTAAATCTCCCTCTCTCTCTCTCTCTATTTTTCTTCTTTCTTCTTTTTTCTTTTCTTTTCTTTTTTTTTTTTCCAGATTTCCTGAGTTAATTGTTTTCGTGAGAATGGAGAAGACACGCGAAGCAAGAAACATCAAGATTTAAGCGGACACGTAACGAGTTAATTTAATGAATGCTCCCCCTTCTTTAGTACATATTACTACTTGCTCACTGATTAATAAAAGATTACTCATTGCTCACCCATCTATCTAATATATTATCCGTTCATCACCCGTTTGAATTCTGTCAAATGCAATTAACGGAATGTCCAACATGGCGGATGGAAATCCTATGTGGCACTAACGGAAGTTAATTGAATCCTAGGGAGCCAAAAGTGCAAAAAAGCCATGACATTTCTTCACTTTTCCAACAAAATATACAAGACACGTTTTTTCCACCCTCTCTCGCTCTCTCTCTCTCTCTCCAGACAATGGCACAAATTCACCCCCAAATTCACACCGAATCCATGAACCCTAAAATTCGCTACCAAAATCGCAGGTAAAATATTGATGTTCAGAAACTACACACACACACACAATTAACTCCAAAGAGAGGTTGATTAGTTGGTAGTGGAGCTCGACATTTCGAATGAAAGCGAGAAGAAAGCGTAAGGAGCTCGGCATTTCGAATGAAATCGAAAGTGGAATCTGATGCAATGATGCTCCACTCGTCCAATGATGCTCCACTCGTCCCCCACAGCAAAGCATTTTCCAGAATTTTGAAAGAGATGGAAAGTGGAAATTAGAACTCCACTCGGTACTTTGATTCCAAATAGAGGCTGATCAGTTGGGTGAAACCGTGAAATAATTTTTTTTTTCTTCAGGTTTTCACAACAGTAATCTGGTCTTCATCTTTGTAGTAGGAAAATTGATTTCAGATTAGAGCCACCATATTAACGTTTTTCCCTGTGTTGTAGTTGGAAAATTGGTGGATTATGTTCTGTGTATTTGAATATATAAATGAATAAAATCGAATTTAATCCTTGATATGTTTAAGGATTTAGTTTTAAATGTTAATCTTTTATTGTGTTTTGTATGTGACAATTACTGATTAATGAGATTGCTGGTGCAGTCTGGAGCATATGAGATGAAAAAGAAAAAATGGTGACTTTTGTTGTAATGGCAGAGGAGTTTGGGGTTATGCAAAATAATGGTCTTTGCTGCTGCAGTGGGGATTTGTAGTATATTCCATAACTAATTAACAATAACATAACAGATTATCTATGTTTTATTGGCTGTGTAAAAAGCACAAGCAATCTGATGCAAATTTCTGATGCAAACTGATGCATTTAACTAACAAGCACATGCAATCTGATGCAAATGGCATCAACAGCAAAAAACATGAATTTTGATTGGCTAAAGTAACAAATTTTCACCTGCTTTGCTAGATTGCATAACAAAATAAAAACTGATGCACATTAAAACAGCAAAAAAACTGATGCATTTAACTAGTTTGTTGCAAATAACATCAAAAAAGCTTCAATTCATTCCATTAAGAAAGCACGGTAATTTTCAGTTGCTCATTACAACACCAACTAGTTCGTTTCCAAAATACGGCATAATTTCTAACATAAAATACTAAAAACGAATTGGTGTTCTACTGAGTAGCTGCATGGGTCCTTTTCCTCAGAGGTGCAAATGGCACCGAGCCTCTAACCACTCTTCTGTTCTTGTCTCTGGCTGCCCTCTTCTGTGTTGCAAATCTTCCACCATAATTTGGAGTAGGACATTTTCAGTTGGTGAAGGAACATTCTTCTGTTTTCCAGTTGGTGAAGGAGCACTCTCCTGTCCTCCACTGCATGAATACTTGCCAAATCATCCACTTTCAGTTTGTCCAGTGGAGCAAAATGCTCCGAATTTAACTTCAGAATGCCAGCAGTATCCTGTTTAGGAATACACTTTGTATCTGGTGTTTCCCTTACCAGAGGGGAAACTTTTCCATCAACAGGCTCTTCCAAAGTATGAGTACTTTGTTTTTCAATCAATACTGGTAGATTTTCAACTCCATCGCTGCTCAATTCTCTTAATTGTGATAGAAATGTCTGCGCCATAAACACCTTTTTCTGGTTTTTCGGCTCATTGCTCAGTGCTTCGTTTTTTACAGAGGCGAATTCTTTCTCTACGGCTCCTTGTCGTTCCTTTAACTTCATGATTTCCACCTTCAGTTCCCTGATCATCCATCAAGATTTGAAGCTCCTTCTCTGTACCAAGTGAAGATGTATTCACTTTTTGTTATGTTCTTACAGGTTTCTTCGTGCTTTGAGGATATTGATTTCTTCTCTTTATATATTTCAGCAAATGCATCTTCCCCTTTCGAAAACACTTGTTCTTGAATTCCCATTGGTCCTAATTGATTTTCTTGAAGCCCAGTCAAATATTCACACCGAAGAAATATTACAACCATCAACTTTCAATTCAAAACATCAGTAATAGAAGTTTCGAGCAAACCAATTAGACAAAATGTCAATAAACTGAGTGAAGAGAAGAAGTACCCGCTGGCGAATTTTAGGGTTCATGCATTTGGGGGTGGGTTTCAATTTGGAATGGTTCAATTTGGGGGTTAATTTGGATTTCTTTTTTGATTTCACTTCCGTTATGTGCCACGTCGGATTTTCATCCGCCATGTGGCACATTCCGATGCATTGGACGGAGTTTAAAGGGATGATGGATGGGTAATATATTATATAGATGAGTGAGCAACGGGTAATGATTTATTCTTCAGTGAGCAAGTAGTAATATGGGTTGAAGATCGGTGAGCATTCATTAAATTTACTCGACACGTAACACGTGCCTCGAGGCACGTGTCTAGCGATATGCGGCCTTCATGTGACGTGTCGACTGTAAATGGACTGGTTAGGCCTAGGTTAATAAGTTGATTAAGGGATGGGGGCAGGTCGGGATTGGTACTGGGGCAACCTCCGGTGTCGACTCGCCTAGTTACCCGTTTAAGATGACACGGAAGGGACGATGCGACCCGTTTACTAATCGGTTTATCTATTTATTTTTTATTTTTGATAATTTATTTTACAGTCCTCATTCATTAAAGTGAGATAATAATATATTTTTTAATTTTTATTTTCAAATATATTTGATAAATTAAAACTTTTATTATTTATCATATTTTTTAGATAATCTTAATTGTCATTTTTTATTA